CAGGACCTACAACGGGTCACCTGCCACTCTCCCTGGGCCTGAGGTGTAAGGGCCCATGCTGGCTCGCATGCCTGCTATGCGATGCTCACCTCATCTTTACAGAGGGCCTGTTCTCACCTGGAGCTGACCCTCCCTGCCAGGGCATCCTTCTGGCTGAAGCGGGGGCATCCAGTGTCCGGTGGTCTTGCCGGGAAAGTAGATGGAGCAGAGGCCACCTGGGAGCAAGGAAAGGCCTCACCACACAGGGAGCATCTCCCTGCCTTAGAGCAGCTATGGGGAGCACTGTCCTCCATGCTCAGGTGAGGAAAGCAAGCTGCAGACAGGGTGAGGGTGTGCCCGAGGCCAGCCTGCCGGATGGCGTTTTGAGCCCAGACTCCTCTGGCTCTGAGGCCCCCTTGGCTCCAGCCCTACCATTAGACGTCATCTGCAACTCTCTAAGTCCAACCTGGCTTCGTAGCCAGCGAGGGCCTGGCTGGCTAGTACATAGGACCAGACTCACTCTGGCCCCAAACCCCTCTGCATCCTCAGCCCTCAGGCCCCCGCTGGGGAAGATGCAGGCCTGGGATGGGGGCAGCGGGGCAGGGCTGGGGTGATGTGGAGGGACACCCCCTACTTGATGACAATGGCTGGCTCTGAGCCCCGGAGGGACCTGGCGTGTGTGAGGTGGTCAGGAAAGGTCCACTAGGGTCAGGTCACTGGCTCCGCTTGCCATCCCTGGACAGGGCCAGACAGCCTCGGGGTGGCAGAGACCACAGTGGAGCGCAGGACAGTGTCTGCCCCAGCTCCGGCCCCAGGGTCTATGCTCCTCCAGTTCCACGGATTATTCCAAAAGGTGTTTGTCCTGTTTCTGGACTGGGTCAGGCTAGGGTCAGGGCCTGCTGGGGGCGGACAGCATCTCGGAGCAAGGGCCTCTGTGGATCTGGCCAGCAGCAGAGGGGAGTGGCCATGGGCTGGGGGGCGGGGCAACTGCAGGGTGGGCTGGGCAGAGCCACTCTTTGCTGGTAGTCCTGCCCATGTGTAGACATCTTCTGCCTAGGTGTCCTTGCTCAGGAGGGCTCTGGGACACCCGCTTGGGCAGCCCTCAGGTCCCCCTGGACCAAGCTCTCACACAGCAGCCCCTCATGCAGACACAAGCCTGCCCTCCGCCCCGCCCTCCCTCCACCTCTGTCCTGCACCACCCCCACCTCCAAGGCCTGGAGCCACCTGCTGGCCATGACCGGCCTTGCTGGCCCCTCTCCACCCCTCTCTCTACCTTTCATCCCACCTTTCTCTCTCTGTCCCACCCTCTGTCTTTCTCTCTGTCTCTCTCTCTCTCCTATCCCTCTTTCTTTCCCTTGCTCTCTGTCCCTCTGTCCCTCCACTGCTCTCTGGTTCTGGACTATTCTCCTGACAGCATGTGCAGCCTGATGGACCCTGGTCCTGACGGCTCGTCACTCCCTGCAGACAGGGAGGGATGGGGCCTCTAGGATGGCCAGGCCTGCACGGGGCCATGGCTGTGAAGCCCAGGCGCAGGGAGGAGCAGGCCAGGGCCCGCTGTGGCACTGGGGGAGCTGTATCCTCCAACCCAGTGTCAGGAAGAGGGCTCAGCTCCTGTCCCTGCTCCAGGGGCTCATCCCTCTGTCTTTGGGACACATGAAACTGGGGCTACAAGGGGGCCGGCAAGGGGCTTCAGCTGCCTCAGACTGGGCACTCCCCGTGACAGGGTCTGTGCAGGGACTGCGAGTCCTGGGAGCCTCAGGCAGAGGTCAGACCCCCAGACTCTGGGGGAAAAGAGTCAAGATGGGCTCCTGGGGGGCAGGGCAGGCAGGGGTCCTCCTAGAGTGGGGGTGCTGAGACTCCGGCCCTCGACGCACTATGTCTGCCTTGGGACCCCCTGAGCCAGTCCAGGCCAGGGACAGATGGCCCCAAGCAGCCTTCCAGCTGCCTCCGCCCGCCCCCAGGTCCCTACAGAAGAGGGCTGGGCAGCGCCTCGTCTCGGCACCACGGCACTCCGGCACCTCACTGCAACAGGAAGAGGGAGGCAGCCAATGGGCCCTCAATTGTAGCCAAATTCTCACAGTGAAACCTCACCCCCAAATCGGGGACACCATCTTGTTCTAAATGAAAATCAAAGGCTACCTTGGGAGTCCAGGAGGACCTGCGTTTACGGGAGGAAAGCGGCTAGGCTGCAGAGGAGGCATCCCAGAACCCCCTGGCCATTGGCTGGAGGCTGCCTGCGGGCTGTCACTGCTCAGGCTCTGGCCCGACTTGTGAGATGTCCCGTGGGCGAGCTGTTGGACCACTGTCGGGCTGTCTCCTCCTGCCGCAGCCCCTCATCACCCTGTCAGCACCTCCACTGTCACTGTGTCCTCCCATCACCACCACGACCCCCTGACCACCGCCATCCCCAGCAGTGTCACCACCACAGATCTCAGCTGAGCCCCAGGAACCCTGTGCCACCCCATGGCCACCGCCCGCCCTCGTCGCTCTCACCAACCTTTCCCCACCATCATCATGACCACAACCTTCATCAATATCACACCCCCACCCTCCATGGCCCATCCTGTGGCTGCCAGCAAAGCCACTGCCTCACCCCTGCACACCCCTACTGCCTTGACCATGGCTGCCACTGTCACCACCCGCAGTCATTCCCGTCAACGTCTTCACCACCGTGACCACCACCTCAGGTGAAGGCCCCAGTCCCCGGCAGCTTCCCGGCCAGCGGTGACCTCACGAGGAAGGGTGGCACTCTGAGGGAGGCCGCCCTGGGTCCAAGGTCCAGTCCTGATCGGCTGCTGTGTGCCCCGGACACCTGTTCTTTTAAGCATGTTTGTTTTATTTATGACAACACATGTGAGGGAGAGACAGAGACAGAGACAGAGGGACCCTCCGTGGCCTTGTCAAGAACCCCTTCCTGGCCCTCCAACACACCAGGATCTCAGGCATGCACACACCTGGCATTTTGAAGCCGACCCAGGGATCTGAACCCGCAGTGGGCAGTGTGGCTTCCAGCTCTGCAGGCCAGCTTGGTGCCGACTGCACCTCCAGGCTGGACACATTTTCAAATCTGCTGTCCTGATCAGGGAGAGCCAGGTCTGTTTCAAGAACCCCTTCCTGGCCCTCCAACATACCAGGATCTCAGGCATGCACACACCTGGCATTTTGAAGCCGACCCAGGGATCTGAACCCGCAGTGGGCAGTGTGGCTTCCAGCTCTGCAGGCCAGCTTGGTGCCGACTGCACCTCCAGGCTGGACACATTTTCAAATCTGCTGTCCTGATCAGGGAGAGCCAGGTCTGTTTCCTGCATCACGCTGACCCTCTGAGTGCCGTGGGTGGGCCGTCCATCCGTGTGGCTCATGTGGCTTCAGGATCAGCCGGAACCACAGCCGGTGAGTAGCTCCGGGGTCAGGGCTGCGTGTGGAGGACCCTGTGGCCTTGGGCCAGTCTCCTGAGCCAGTCCTGTGGGAGTGGGGCTCCTGGCCCTCATCTGGTCCAGCTTGGGTGGCAAGGAGGCAGCAGGTGGCAGCAGCCACTCATCCTGGCGACATCCACACTTGTCAAGCCTCCCAAGGACAACACTTTTTTGTCCTTCTCATTTCTAATTAAGAAGAATTAGTCAGCGAGTGACACGTCTACGGAGGTGCCAAGTGACATCGCTGCTCGTGTTATTAATACAGTAAGTGGAGGACAGGTCCCCACGCTGCCAGAGACTGGCATGGAGTCTCGTTCCCAGAAAACGGTGGCGGGAAGCCCAAGCTTTCCCAAATTAGCTCATTACTCACTGCGCGTCCCCTGGCTCTCTCCCTCCTCCCCCACCCTGCTCTCCCACCTTCAGTGGGGCCAGCCCAAAGGGCAATGGTGCGGGTGTGAGTGCTCAGCCTGGGACCCACCGCCCCCACTGCAGGGGAGGCCCCTGAGGCCGAGGTGGGGAGGGCCCCGGAGAGCAGGAGGGCCCAGTGCCCCCCCCAGCAGTTTGACCTACCAGGGAGAAGGTGGGTCACACAGGAGGGCAGGTCTCGAGACCCGCTTAGGGCTCAACCTGCTCACGACCCCTTCATGGGCCTCTGCTTTCCTCGAGGGACAATGGGAGCACCAAACCACAGGGTCTTGGCTACTCCCTCCCTGTACCTGCCCAGGGAGACCTGAGTTCAAGGGGGCCACCCAGGAGAGGGGCTGCAGCCCACTGTCCCACTCTGGTACTGTCACCTGTCCTCCTCAGGCACCTGCTGGAGACCTGCCTCTGGTCCCAGGCTCCTCGCAGGGCAGCAGGCAGCAGTGGGGCCCCACGAGGGCTATGTGGCAGCACCGGGGAGGGTGGCCTTTAAGAGGCTGGATGCAGGGCCAGCTGGTGGCCTTGTTGTTGGGGCAGCTGGATCTCACGTGGCCGACCATGCAGCTTGTGTCCCAGACCTGGCAGCCTGAAAAATGCTCTGGGTACATGTATGTGTGCACCCAAAATCCCAAAGGGAGGAAGAGAGGGAGAAGGGATTGCTGAGTGGCCACCCCTCTAGGGAGGGTGCTTTCTCGCTTTCCCTGTCTCCCTCTCCTTCTCACTTTCCCTCTGTCTCTCCAGTGAGTGTGCGAGCCCTCTGGCAACCATTTTTAAAGAGTGAGCCTGAAAATAATGCCTATATCCACAGCTCCTCACAGGCTGCCCCTCTTAGGACAGCAGATGTGGGAGTCTGGAGGCGACCTCATCCCACCTTCCCCTTGAGGTTGCTCTTGCTCGAGGTGGGAAGTGCACAGAGTCACAGAGGTCTGCAGGTGCCTCAGGGTCAGAGGTGGTGAGCCCCCGAGAACCAGCACACTGGGAGGGGGCCTGGCAGGGACCGTCCCAGGCTCCTCGCAGGGCAGCAGGCTGGTCTGGACAGGTGCCCAGGCGAGCAGTGGGGTCCCACCAGCCCTGGCCTCAGCCTGCCTCGCTGGGCTGCAGCACTTCCTGCAGCCAGCACAGGGTGGCTGCACCAGACAGGGTGGTGGTCCATGGGCTCTGCACAGCAGCCACCGTGGTCCTGCCACCTCCACCTTGCAGTGCAGATGCACAGGGTCTGTGCCTTCTCATGCCCCAGAGCTCCCTCCTTCTCAAGCTTCTCCAGGGGTCCCCCTCTGGATCCAGCAGGGATGAGAGCTGGGTCTGGTCCAAAACCATGACACCACATTGCCCACTGTGGCTCTGCTGGGGCCAAGCCTGGGCGCGAGGAAGCCTGCAGCCAATCCTGAACAGAAAAGATCTGGCTGGGCCA